TCTCTTTTTATTTGGATTACTTTCCAAGTATAGAGGTCACTTGAAACTACAGGTCCCTTGTGACTGTGAGGATTGGAACTAATATATCCCATCACAGGGCATAATTAGACATGAAAGGCTAATTTAACTATGTGGAGGTTAGTCTAGGTTAACAAATGTGGTTTAGGGAATGCTCAGTATAATGGGTGGATGCTAATGTCAAATAACATTTTTCAGATAACCTTACCACTGAAAAGTAATAAAAAATGTTAACTGGTAGGTAGTTTTAAGGAAGACCACTGCAATAGTGAGAAATATATACTGTGTGATGTTGTCCCTCTGTGCAGAGAGATAAAGCAACAAAGGTATTGACTAGAGCCTGCACACAAATGGAAGTAGTGGTGCAACAGTTTTCATTTCAAAATAAGATATTGGATATGTACAAAAAGACCTCAGCCTGCACTGAAGAAAGGTCTCTTACCTTCTAATCAAAGATAATAGAATAGAATGCTTTGAAGTACTATTAAAATTAATAACTAAAACAAATCCTAAAGCCCCAGCATATCTAGAAGTTATTTCTACTAATTGGGATGCCCACTGGATGAACTGCAGAGGTGGAGGATTTAGCACAGTTATGTCCTGTTACAGTGATGGCACATACAGTGTATATATGCATAAGTATGTGTATATATATATATATATATATAATATATAATATATATTTAGAAATATATGTATATGCAGATTTTTTCCATATTATGCTAGAAGGACAGATCTTTAGAACTCTGGAACTACTCTGGAAAGCCAAAGTGACCAAGACTTTTGAAAGCATTTGATATGAGAACTTGTTGATGCTAATACCTGAATAACCAGACTGGAAAAGAGAGTCCTCTCAGTAAGCTTTGGAGTTCAGAAAACTGGGGCAGTACTGATCTATTTTCAGACATAACAGGAGATACAGCAAGGACTGCTATAAGGAAGCATAATGATGAGATTAATATTTTGCCACATTTTACTTCATTTTAAAATACAGTATAATAAAAGCTGGTCCCTGTGAAAGAAGAATGCAAATGAGTTTGGAATGCATTAGCACATTGCTTTGCATACGAGAGGGCTATAATATATATATGGATTGAATTCACCTCAAGTTTTTTTGAGTGTACATAGGAATTGAAGTACAGCACAGCCCAATTAAATTGAGACCTAGGAGGGCAGTAACCCTGTTGGAAGATTACATTACTCTTCACTAAACCTCAAAGACCAAAACAAAGAAACCCTTCCAAAGATATGCTGGTCACCGGGATAAAGTGCTTAAGCAAGGCATCCAATGTGCAAGCTTGAGATTAGCAGGTCTTTATCTTTGTCTGAAATTATTTCATAAAGGGAATCCCAGCCCAGAGCGAGAGCTGGAAGTGCTGTGTGCCAGCCTGGGGGCAGGATTGTCATTAGCTGTGGTCCTTATCTGTGCTCTGCTGGTGGTGGCCAAGTACAGAGGTCAGCCTTTCCCTTGGAATTTAAAGATTCCATTTTAATTGGGTTTAATCTTTTGCTACTGTAGATCCAGCTATATAAATTATTTAAAGGCAGAAGGTTTTTTTCTCAGTAATTAATGACAGGTTTGTTAGCTACTGTAACAGCCTGAGGCTTCACTTTCCTTGTGTAGTTCTGTAACCGTCTCATGATTACCTAATATAACAACCAGCCTCTATGGCATTATAAAATTATAATTGATGGTTTGTACCAGCAGCACTTGAAGGGGTGATACAGCAGTAGTGCTGGATGTATTTACTGTCTCAGAGAAAGCAGCCTGGAGAGGAGAGAGCAGCTGCCTGTTGAGATTTCACTGCTCAGGAAGTGTTGAGAGTTACGAAGATCATCGAGGCCAACCAATTTCATGTCCAGTATTAGTCAGTGTTTCACCATGCCCGAGAGATCATAGAGATTGTTCGAGCAGACAGAACACCCAGGTAGTAGTGGTAATAATAGAGTCCTACACAAAAGCTTTCACCTTCTTTCTTCCTTTGTCTGCTTGGTAAGGGAATATTGTTCCATTAAGTGTCCTGTGGATGTTCCTGTGGAGGACCTGCTGTCCTCCTAAATCATCATAATACCAGAGGTCAGATCCTTAACCAGAGTCTTCTGCTCCATCAGGTGTTAGAGAGTCTCTCTTGTGGTGTCTAATCGAAGGATCTCAGGTTTCTGAAATGTTAGAGAAATGCAGTTCATCTGTCAAAGCTCAGCAGTGAAAGTTACACTGCTGCAGCCCAAGTGTCTTTGAACATTGTACCAAGTATTTGATGTCTTTACACCTCGGTCTAAGTTAGCTTTTTGAGTACAGCTAAACTGGAGCCTGCTCCCTAGAGCTTGAAGCCTCTTCCTTCTACACTTGTTGGCAATACTAAAATGATGCCCAGACTTCCAGGAGTTTGTAATTAACAGCTTTTTGCCCATTTCAAAATAAATGATGATGAATTCTTGCATTTTAATATCTTATTTTGAGTAGCAGAAAAATCAAAGTTCTTTTGTGCTTATGTCCAAGCATACTGTGATAGAAGCAGCAGAAGGGCAATTTGTGGCTATATATTCTTGACGTTTTTTGTAACCTCTTGCAGTGAAAGATTTAGGGATTAAGATTATTTCAGTGCTTTCTGGGAATCCTAAAGCAGGGTAGGAGCTGACACCTATGAAGATGAAAGATGGAATATCAAGAAAGGAGAGGAAGGGGAATAGGGCTGTCATCTCTCAAAGTTAATATAAAAAGCTCAGCCTGATGTGACATCAATGAATTTTGTGTGGGGTTTTTGGTTGTGTTGCTCCTCATCCCATGTTGCACAGGAAGCATTGGGAGGAAGATGAGTAGGGCTTTGCCAAGACACTACATTGTGTGGTGATGGAATCACACTTTCTGCTGGTCTTGTGAAGCCCTTGGCAATGACTTTACATTTGAGAGGAAAAAAAAAGACAAAAAATCTGCCAAGATATCTTCTATAAATAGATCCTTTAGGCCTGATTTTTTTTTCGTCTTCTCACTGGCAGAATCTGATCTTATGTATGTTTGTAGATGCTTCATAAATGTGAAAAGCAAGAAAAAGTTAAAGTGAAACTCAGTGTTGGTACTGTGACTCTGAAATGTGCCATGAGCATGTTTGAAGTGCCTTTACCTACACAGTTGTGAAATTTGGGGTCTGGTTGTGGAGATTACCAAAACTGTTGGGTAGTTTTCTGCTCTGTGTGGAGATCTGATGTATCAACTCTATGTTGCAACGACATTGGAGAGTTAAAAATGTATGGAATCCATAAAATGCTGTGATCTGTTGGCTATAATGGCAGAAGTTACTCTTTTGGCAGCCTGCTAAGTGACTCTTGAGGCACTGAGGAACTGGTGTAGCTGCACATTGCATCATACCATTAAGTGAATTAGAGAGAAGATTTGAAAAGGTGAAAATCCTGAGCCTTGGGAGGCTTTGCCATCTGCATTTTCCTCCTGCCTCTGCTGAGAGCTGGGATGCAGGTACATGGGCACAGCCAGTGGCCTGACCTTCCTTTGCTCGCAGGCGCTGGAAATGAATGTGAATGACTCAGTGTCTGTCTGAGAGAACAAATCCCACTCCCACGGCTTCAGCTGGAAGTTATGCTTTTAAAAACTTGATGGCCCTTAAAGAGCAACTCCTTTCACATTTAAATTTTGCCACCCCATGCATCTTACTTTCAGGATGATTCAGGCAGCTTTAGGAGTAAATGAGGGGTGCGTGAGAACAAGCCATAAGAATTATGTTATCCTGATCTTTTGCTCCTGACAACCTTGCTGATGTGCAGTGAAATATAAAGGCTTTAGAGCATAATTCACTGTTAGACGTTAAAGAGAAAAAGTTCAGCTATTCATAAATTAATATTAAATCTGTTTGCTGCAGCCAGTGTAAGGCTGGTGATGACTCACTTGCCTGTACTTAGTAAAGAGCAATGCTCTCTAAAGAATCCCATCCCATCGTTTCTGCTGACAGCTATTAAGAAAAATATTTAAAATACCTCTTAAAATTGTATATGTAATTCTCAGTGAAGTGACATTACATTCTTTTTGTTCAGTCATCACCCTGTGCTAGGACTGGAGTTTGTGACACGCTAATTAGCTCTGATTTAGCACAACCATTATTTTTGGAGTTAATGGTTAGCAAACGTTGTCTAATATTATTATATAACCATTAATATGACTAAGGTAAAAAATGAGTTAAGTAAAAATGGGAGGAAATTTAACATGGCAGCTTGGAAATACAAATAGGATTTTGAGTTTCCCAGCACTAAGTCAAATAAAACAGCTGCACCATCCATCTTTAGAAAATAAAACATGAAGATGGACAATTTCTGATGTATTAAAAGGTTCAGTTCAGGGTGAAATTCATTCACTTGCAGATGGACAACTCCAGCTCTGTGCATGATGCATGCTTCGTATTGCCCTGGTCCTGGGTGTTCTATAGGATGTAGGAGGGAATTTTTTCCAAAGAGTTTGAAACCTGAAAGTCAGCACCTTCATGGAAAGGAGGATCTGCTCTGCCTCCCCTGAGGGGTCTGTTGTGCACTCTTCTGTTAGGACAATTTTAACACTACTGCCTATCAACTGACCAGAATCTCCAGCCTCCATACTGGTGTGGAGAAGGGCTGCTGAGTCCTGCCAGGGCTCCTGGGTAAAACAAAGACCTGTTTGTTTGAAGTCATGACTTTGATTTTCTTTCTTTTTTCCTTTTCCTGCCCTGTGTTCCTGAGAGCTTCTGTGACTGTGTTGTGACTTCTGCCCTTTTCCTTCCTGCCTGCCTCGCTGCTGGGACTGGAGCAAGGAGAGGCAGAGGAGATGTTCTATGGATCCTGGATGACTGTGGGCAGAACTGCCTGTGGAGGCCAGAAGAAAAGGTTTAGAAAGGGAGGTGCTAGGCAGAGAGGGAGTAGGGAAAATGCTAGCTCCAAAATTGGTATATAAAAATTGAGTTGAGATCCTCCATAATAGTTTTCTCATTTTTCTTTATATGCAGAGAATTGCCTGAGACCTGAAGCCAGGACATGGAAAGTTTCTCTTTCCTATGTCCTTCACCTATACTGCAATTTAAAGAGCAGAAAAAATCAGCTAGCCTGAGCCAAATAGCCCCGTCCCTTTCAGCTCACCACAGCAAAATAGGACAGCACAGAATAAAGGGGGAATTCCCACTAGAAAGATCCAATAATGCTTTGGGGGGAAAAGGGATTTCAAATGTTCTTTTAATAGTAAGTTTTGGTGAATGCTTTGTTCTCTATTTATGAGGGATATTTTGCCTGCAGGGAAGCTCTTTGCTTGTCTGAGTTTATCTAAGAAGATTAAACTCCAAAAGTTCATGGCTAAAAAGCTCATCTGTGTTCATCTGTATTCCTCACCTTGAATATGTAATCTGATGAGTGGTTTCAATATAAATATAGAGATGGGCTTGACTTGGCTGAACTAAGCTCAAGACTTATCTCCAGCTAGCAGGAGGTGGAAACACTGCTGGGGTGGTGTGTGTGTCAGCAGGAGCTGTAAACTGTTTGTGTGCCAGCACAGTGATGTTCCGTAGAGTTTGTCTCCCCAGTCCATGCAGGGCAGGAGAACGATGCTCGTGTAGCAGGATCCACTCAGGAAGCCTTTGCTGGATACAAAGCCTGCTTAAACTGCTTTGTTTTCCCTGTGGAATCCCTTGCTCCTGGTCTCTGAGTGCTCAGCTGTTACCTTTCCCTGTACCTGCCTTTTTGAGGACTCACAGGAATGAGCAAAGGAGGGAAAGAGGAAGCACCTTACTTCTAAAATCTTATTTTACCACATGCAGGTTCTTCATTATGCAATGGTACAGACCTGAAAACCTGTGAGGCACAATTAACTACATTTAAAATATACCCAGCACCAATTCCTAAGGGGTCTATGATCTAAAAGGAATATGTGCGTTCTGGGTTCCAGCAGTGATCTGGTTTTCTGTGTAAATATTCAAACAGGTTTTTTACAAAACATTTATCTCTAAAAGTACTGGTAAAATTTTGATTGCCACGAAGCTTTACAAGGGATTTTGAGTTAACCACCCAAACTAATTAAGTGAAATTTTCCTAATTTGTTTATTATGTTAATGATCTGAATTAATTTATAGTAATTTAGCATGTATTACTAAAGATTTATTATGTTTCCCACCAAATGACTTAAGAGCTATAAATCCCATGGTTAACTGTAATTACTAGAGACATATTTATCGAAAGGGATAATTACATCTGATAAAAGTTCTTCAGTTAGGCTTAATTAAAACAGATTATTCCCCCATAAATGAAAAGTAAATATGGTAATTACTGGATAGATATTCATTGCAAAAATGAATATCTCAGCTTTTAATTTTCTAAAGGGGTGGGTAACTCAACTAAATAACTGATTGTTTCTCAATAAAGTGTAATTAACAAGCCTAGAAAATGGATATTTTTATAGGAGTAAACATTTTGCTAGCTAATGACTAAAGAGTAGACATTACTCAGAAAAATCAACAAAAAATTAACTTTTTTTTTTTTTGAGTGGACTGTTGCTGCTTTGAACTAATGAGAAGAGCATGCTAGGCAAATGATATTTTCTTACAATAAGACTGCTCCCAGTTTGTCTAAGTAGCAGGACTGAGGGAAAACCACAACTTTTGCTGTTGATAATACGGATTGTATTTTCTTAGGCATACACCAAATTTCCTGCGGTTTCTGATGTTACAATTTATTTAATACACATCACTGTACATGAGGAGATTAGATTGTAATTCTGTTTTTCATAATTTATTAGTACACTGTGTTAAAAGCACTTCAGAGCTGTCACTTGTAAATCAGATTCAAAAGAAGGGTGAGAGCTGAGAGCAGAAAAATGTAAACATGCAAAACCAGATCCTTGTCTTGGCTGAAGATACTTCTTAAAAACACTTGGAGACATGGGGGAATAAGTGGGCTCTAACTCCTTGATTCACAGTTGCCCAGGTGTAAATGAGTGGAAACAGAGACATTTCAATTCAGACCATTGTCATGGAATGTGGCTTTCTACTGAAGAATTAGGACAGTGTTTTGGCTGGAGGAAGTGTTGGTTTTCCCCATAATAGTTAAATTATCCAACATTATTAATATGCAATGTGAATTGGCTGCAATTTGATGTGTCAGTGGGAGCTGCTGCTGTGCCTCCTGGGATTAGCAATTGGGGTGGTGCACAGTGAAGGATATAACATTTTAGGACTATGTATATGAAGTACTTCCACTTGTTGTAGCTTGTGAAAGGTTTTGTGGATGGAAATAGGTGGGCAAGCTCAGGCAGCTGAGGGCTGTGGTTGCCCAAATCCTCTGGGAGCACACCCCAAGCTTAGCAGGGAAGTGTCCCAGGAAAATGCTGATGGGCAGAGTGGCTGGGGAGGAGTGGGGCTCTCTGGGATGCAAAACTATGGAGTGAAAACTTGTTTCAGGTGTTACTTTTTCATGTGTCCAGAAGGTTTGGAAGGAGCTGATGCTATTTTGGTGAGGAGTGTGCATGCTGAGAAATGAAGATTTTGATGGTGTGATGTATGCCATTTACGAATTTAGATGGAGTTCTCTCAGTAACTCAAAATAAAACAGGAACAGAAACTTAGAATATGTCAAAGCTCTCTTTCACAGGTGGCTGAGATCCTCTCTCCTCCTGCAGGCACTGCCAAGCCCATGATGGGGGCTCAGATCTGTGATGTGGCCCGAGCCTCACCCCAGTGCAGCATCCTCATGCACTCTTCCCCACAGTAATCAAATGAAACATTTAATTTTGGCATTGCACAGCCACACTGCATCAAGAAAAACTTTTCAACCTATTGTTACAAAGAAGCATTTCTCATGAGTGTAACCTGAATTTCAAGGTTAAAAAAAATATAAATTAAATAATCCATATAGTGAAGCTAGGATTATTTTCTTTTGGTCAAATGAAATGCTCTGGATCAATCCAAAATGAATTCTGCAGAAATCCCCCAACAAGTATTTCAGGTAGAGCAAGACAAGTCCCTTCCATCTCCTTAACATGTTTTTCATTGATCACTTCCAGACAGCACAGGGTGAAAGTCAAGACTGGGGTCAGGAGGTGTACCTTGAAGTAAAGGAAGGAAGGAAACAAACAGGTTAAGCTCAATCACTGAAAGGAACTGATTTCTGCAGCTCCTATTTAAGAACAGATTTTGCTTTTTGCAAAAACAATCCCTGTACACAAGAAGAGGGTAGAAATATTTGAAATCTCAGATCAATAAAAGGGTTTTTTTCCCATTTTGAAATGAAATTGAGGCAAAATATTAAATGAGACTAATATGCTGTATTCTTGGGAAATATAAATAACCAGACCTTATGTTTATCTGGTTTTTAGACAATTAATGATGTACATACCTGTAAAAATTTGACACAAAGCTGACAGTCAGTGATAAACATAGTTAATGGTAAAAAATGAAGAGATGCTTAATCCAAACCAAGTTTAAACTCCAGCATGCATTCACTATTACTTGTCACTCAAATTAGAAGCATTTCAGCAAGTCTGTGTAATATAGCACAACTTGCACAGCTTGAAAACCCTGAAGTTGAAATGGAAAAGTTTATGCTTCTGCTTTTACATCTAGAAAAGAGTAAAAGAAAAGGGTTTGCCCAGACTGCTCCTCATCTTCCCTAACTTGTGGGAAATTATCCAAGAGGATATTTTCCAGGTAATATATCTTGGTTTTGCTATGGATTGCAGACCATTGCAAGGAACTCAGGACCTTTTGAAATGGTGGTTTTGAACTTGCCTTCAGTGAATTGATCTAGGGCACTCAAAATAGTATTTAAATTCCAGTGCTGTTGGAAAAGCTGTGATATGACTCTCAAGACTGAATTATGCTTGTGTACTCTAAGTTTGCTATGCAATTCCATCACTGTCCTTAGAGATCAACAAGATTAGCAGCATTTCCAGCAGGGATGCACTGTACCCCTGCTCCTCCACATCACTTTTGGTTGTTGGGAGCTCAGTAGACTTTTCTATGGTATTTGACTCCCTGCTCATGTAAGAGAGAATTACTCTGGAAGTGACTTGTACAAAGTAAAGGAAAAATCACAAGTTGAACACACCAAATATGACTGTGTCTCTCAAACAAGCCTGGTGATGCATTACAAAACAGAGCCTGGGTTGAGACTGAAAAAGGCTGTACAATGGAGGTTGTGATTTCTCCAGAGCAAAGAGAGAGCTGGTGCTTGCTGCATGAAGCAGCTGAAGAACCTGACTATCATAGTTCAGTGTTGGTGGTTTCTTGGAATTTAATTTCAACTAAACCATAGTAGGATCTGCTTCACTTTGACTTCTGAGGAAGAGTTTGTATCTTCATTTTGTCAGGCTGTTTTCCATGATTTCTCTGCTGTGTGATCTAGATGATGAACACACACAAATCAATTTTATTTTCAAAATGGGAAGAATTTTGTGTATCATTCTTTTTTTTTTTTCCTGTACTGAATGGCAAAGACATTCCAGAATGGTGAGCTGGAGACAATCAATATGTGTGTACAGATATGCTTGTGTTTCCTCTGAAAGACTTTCCTGTCTTGACATTGAGTTTCATCTGCCATTTTATCACCCCATTGTTTTATGTGTGACATACTCAGAACCTAAATTGTCTGTGAGGTATCTGGAGCAGTTTTGTGTGTTCATTAATATTGGTTGCTCGAGCATTCCCATCAGTTTTCCTGTCACTGTGAATGCAGTCAGCAGATCCCATGGGACAGATGGCTCCTTCCTGTGCTGAGTTTGCTGCCTCTGGCCCTGTTAGTGGGCTCAGAACATCACCTCCTCTCACCACAGGACACCTGGAGCTCTTGAAGAGCTTTTCATGAGGAATATGACCCATATTTGGGTCAGCTTTACTGAAGTGGAGGTAGAATCACCTAGGTCATTCCTCCAATTTATTTGTGAGCCAAGATATCTTTTAATAGCCATGTTGGTGCATTCTCACAGCATTGCATTTAAGTGCCTGCTAATGCTTTCCTTTGTTGCAGCTTTAGCCAACAAGACAGATTTAATGGACCTAGCTCTTTCAGTCTTCTGAAAAGCCTTTTTAAAAATTGCTGTCATTTTTTTCATTTCTTGCTGTCTTTAATACTGAAGTGAACGTAAACGAAGGGTACGTGCCACAAGTAAGTGCTTTGGCAATTTCATATCCAGCTCTGTGTTGGTGCTGGTAACTTGTTACTAGTAATTTTATTCATTTATTCTGAAATGTCTCTTACTGACATTTCAGTTTGACACAATTTC